AGAGGCGGTGCGTGAGAGGCGGTGCTTGATAGGCGGTGCGTGAGAGGCGGTGCGTGAGAGGCGGTGCTTGAGAGGCGGTGCTTGAGAGGCACTGCTCCTCTTCTCAGAGGCTGAGTTAACCCTCCCGCTGCCGCCTGGTGCTGCAGAGATTTCATGAAGTGAAGGAGGTTCTGCCAACTCTGGCAGGACAGAAGGCGACACGCCCGTTCTAAGCCGTGTCCCTCACTCCTCACATCCTGCATCCCCAACAAGTGTATTATGTTGTTGCATCGTTTCAGATGTTGATGTTTCAGTTGTGCTCTTGATAAGCCATTCAAACAGTAAAAACACGTTCAGTTTCCTTTTACTTTTTGTGTCTCCTGTTCACCAAAACATACCCATCTGTTATGGAAAAAGAAAGTAATCCAAAAGTAATCTAAAAGTAATCTGATTACGTTTTTCTTTTTTAAGACACGTAACTGTAACTGTATTTGGATTACTTTCAGAGCCATGTATTCAGTAATCAGTAACTGATTACATTTACAGAGTAACCCTCCCAACCCTGGGTGTATGTTTGTCCAATATGTAGTAAACAGGAAACATCTTTGCAGATATGTGTATGAAGTATTTCTTTCTTACGTACTTCCTGTAGAAAAGACTAAAGCATTTCCCATAAGGATAATGTAAGGTCGTTATGAGTGGCAATCACTTGGCCATATTTTTTCTAAAGCAGTAATATATATGAAAAGGTTTTTGTTGTGCAACTTACGAAGAACCTTGGAACCTTTCTAATCATATTGTATGTAGGCAATCCTATCAGGGCTGTATGCTCTTGACATGCGTGTTGGCAGAATAAATATTTGAGAAGAGGGTCACTCATCCATTCAGTTATGAAAAATAGTTCCTTTGCATCAAAAGAGCTTTCCAGCGGCTTAAAGTGCCAGTACATTGGCAACAAAATACACAATTGCCATGCATAAGTGTAAATACTCCAGACAAACCATTTTGTTCTATGTTCCCAAATGATTTCTTTTTAAATGATGGTTATTCAACCAGAATAAAAGGTATGATAAAAGGGAAAACTATAAATGAAGCAACATAAAGTACATATTGCTTGAGTGTGTTTTTAGAACTTGAGAAAATGCCTTTTCTGTAACATGCTCATCAGCTGTCACCTATCATTAGTACAAAAATAAACTGCGCCAACGATTTATGGCTTGACACTATAATACATTACTGTTTGAGCTGCCAGAGTAGAACATGGCGAGTAAAGATAAGTGAAGTGAGCTGCCAGTGAGATTAAAAAAAACTGAAAGAGAAATGAAGGGCTGCAACCAGTGCTTAAAGGGAAAAGAAAAAGGTGGGAAATGCGTTGTTAGACCTTACACTCACATCTACAGTATGGAGAACATTATAAAGGTTCTGGTAGATGTAGATATAGCAAAAGTGCAGCTGTAAATTATAGGTCAAGGTGTAGTAAACCCCAATCATTTGAATGAAGTTTTAAATGTATGTACACTACCAAGAGATAAGAGAAGGAACACATATTCAGCAGAGTAATGTTACAAAAGACTGCAGAAAGAGAAATGTAAACTGAAATGCAGGCCTTACATCTGAAGAAACAGCTATCAGAGATGTGGAAACTAAAAGACAAACTCAGAAAGAGTGAAAAGAGTTTTATGGCAAGACTAAGAGTAGGCATAAGTGAAAGATCCAAGCGAAGGGGGTTCAACAAACTGTCAGCAGGGAGAAAGCATGCTGTTATCAATTCTCTGTCCAGAGTCATCTTTCGCTCAGAAAAAATACACCATTACCAAAATAAACAAACAATACAAAGAAAAGTTCTAACAAAGCCAATAGATGCAGAATATCAAACAAAGGTGGAACAGCATCTCTTCATGTCTCACAGACAGTTTGCCAGAAGACAGGCTTTTTATATCAAAGAGCCTGAGACCAGGGATAGAGATACATGTGCATGTGTGGAACACAAGCATTTCAAACAATTGAGTAACACCTCGTGGAGAGAGGGCTGTTGACAACCAGCGTCTCAGTAAGTAAGTATGATTGTGTATGAATCTTAAGACAAAGCAGGCGTGGATCAAATATGAAGAGCTGCTTTGACAAAGTTGAATTCTCTGAGACAAACTGTACTGAGTATCTAGGTAACAATGGGAGTGGGTTACTTAAACAACTTAGAGATAACCTATGTGAATGTTTAAAACAAACCTGCAAAGGGACAATCTAGGAATTAAAAACTAAAGATAAAACCTTTAGCCATGAATATATTCAACTGGGTCCACCAGAGGCCTGAACAAAATCTCACTGAATCTGAACTTGTTCTTCCTATTAATTGTTCAGAAAACTATGCCTGCAAGATGCGAACAGAAGCACAAGCTTATTATTTTGAAGGCAGCCCAAAGAAGGTCACAATACACACAGAGGCCTTTACACAGTCCATTGGCAGACAGTATCCGCCCTGATGAGCAGGCAGTGTGGTACACCTGGAGCAAATGAAAGCTGTGGGCAACTTGGCCACAGATGACTTTTCTAAGTGTGATAAGTAATGGACCTGTTACAAAGCACAGGACCGAAGCAATCATTTAGCTCCTTAGTCCTGCCCCTTTCCTTTCTGGGTTTAAGCATGAACATATTCAGTGAAGTACCATGAAAAGGGAGCCCAGGATTGCTTTGGTGGTGGTGTAAAGATGGGGTGCGGGTGATCAAAAAGGAGGTGAGCTGCCGACTCCCCTGGACTTAAAGTCGGGATGCTGGCCAAAAAAATCAGGGCCAACTAGTACTCACCACTGGGTAAGCTAAGAGAGCATTCAGAGACATGATGAGCTGATTCCAGGCACCACGGTTGCACAGTTGCAATTAAAAAAGGCAAAGCCGAACATTTCATTGGTGAAAGATTTAAAAAAATCTCAACAACCCAAGGCTGTTTTGAAAGACTATTAAATCTTCATCTGGAAATAAAAATGGTTACTTCAAGTCAAGGACTCTCAAAACATCTCTGACAAAACCATAGAGCTTGATTGCTTAAATAAGCACTTAATTGCCTCTGGTTCCCTCTATCACCACCTGCAAGGGAAACCCTGTAACTGTTAGTGTTTTGATTTGTGCCAGTTTATATCATAGAGGCGTAATAGGCCCTTACATTTTTAGACAACTCAAAATCGCCAGGTCTAAATAACAGATAGCAATATGTGTTATTGTTAGCCTCTGATTATGTTGCACCATCTTTAAATCTGTCCTTAGCCTGAAACCAGATTCCTCCTATATGGATGTCTTCCTTTATTTTTCCCTTTTTACATGGAGCAGAAGCTTTACTTTAAAATGATTATATCACTCTAACATCCCTTTCATCAATTGGAAGTGATTTTAAATCCTAACAACATTAAACTAATGATGTTTACAAACTCAAGGAAAAAGCCATTCATCCATCTATTCTTACGTTTGAGGGTCATTGAGTCTGTATTTGCATATACATATATGAGATTCTTAATTGCCACTTCCCTCTCGTATAAGCTTCTAGATTCAGATCAACTTGTTGAATAACTTATAACTGAGTCTGGGTTTTCATTTCAGAAATATTATTTGCTTTCTTCAATGCAAAAAGGAGACTTGTTGCTACTTTAACGTCTGTGGTATACTATGATGATGTTTTACATATTTTCAATGCCTTTACTCCTTAGATACTGTATCCCATGGAGCACCGGCATTAATTAAAGATCTTAAGGCCCCACTCATCATTGCTGCCTGCTTTGTTGGGTTGGCTGTCCATCAATACACTCAATCCCTGGCATGTACTTATTTAAAAAGGCAGTTCTTAACTTGCTTCCTAAAAAATATCTTCGTAAATGTATCCTTATGAAAGATGATATCTATTGATCTGTCTGCACCTATTACCCGTCTGGAAATGGGTAAAAGGGCTTTTAAGTGCACTGCTCCTGCGTCTTGGAATATGTTGCAGGGGAAACTGGTCTCTGTGAGAGTTTTCAAAAGTAGAAGTGCCCTTATATAGTCCAGGATATGATTACCTGGGTCTTATTTCCATATACTGGGATCTAAAACGTTATGGTCCGTAACAGTTATAGTAGGTCTGAAGCTTCGTTTCAATTTGCTGATCTTGGATTGTATAGAAGATAGTCATCTCAATGAGGCTTTGCTTGGTTAAATACATTTTTAAATGAAACAAATGGTTGATGTTAAAATCTGGGTCTACACATGATAAGCTACACATCTATGTTTTCCAACTATATAATATACCTGTAAGGCATAATGTTTGTCTCTTTGCTCAGCGTTTTTCTAACGGCTGCCTAAATTGGCCATTAAAGTAAATTCCATCGTCTTATTTAGAAGCAGGCCATCAAAGGAGCCCTACGCACAACAGCTTTATAATGGCTGTATATAATCCAGTGCCCTTTAACACTACATTGAACACAAAGTGATGTGGCAAAAATAAATCTAATTACTCAGCCATTCAGCATCAAAAGCTGTGCCTGCAGAGAGGGCTCCAAAGAACAGGGCCAAGAAACAAACACAGAAGGACTCGAGCTGCGTGTTTGGAGATAGGAGGGAGAGGCTCACTAACAGCCTTTTCCTTTTGTTTTTCACTGTAATATTAACAATAATTATAACCATTTGACAGTACAAGGGGTAAAAGGAAAACAAATGTATAACCCCACAAAATGTACGACACATTGGCACATTCATCCTAGAAAATTCATGGAAATTGAAATGGTAAAACATAAACCCCAATGAGGGTAAGGCGCTAATAAAAAACACTGTGCACTACATGGAAACTGAGATTTCTGCTTTAATCTGAAAACCAGAACAAATAATACCAAAAGGTTTTAGAATGAAAACCTTTCATATCGGTGCTACATGAGTGGGTGATGTTTTGCTTGCCTTTATTACTTGCAGTATGTTCTCCCTTTCTATTTGTCTTTTGGCAACAGTGGCATTGAGAAATGTGTTTTAACCTTGTGCAACTAACACTTTAAAAGCAAGAAAAGTACAAGATTCTGCCTGAATGTTTATCTCATTTAACTCTCAGACAGAACTAAATGTTCCTTTTCACTCTGCCTTTCATTGATGCGATAGTTTTGTCAATATTGTTCCATTCCTGCACAAAAACATTAATCTTTAAAAAACAGATGTAAAAACAACTTTTATTCTAAATGTTTCTTTCTTATATTATGTCTCTTACCGCTTGCACCAAAACATTAAGCTACATCTGTGCAAACCTTGGCAAATGAAATATGTTTATTTTTTGTATTGGTATATTGGAAGAAATAGAACTCGGAAGATGTGCTTTTCACTGCTCAGGGTTGATGTTTTAATAGACTGACTTGTATGTATAAAAGCCAGTGGTGTAGTGGGCGTTGGCGTTTTTTTTAATAGTCTAATAAATATAAAATCATTGCCAGTGATATCAGTTGCAGGTGTGTATTTGTTGTAATAATGACGAAAACATAATAGGCAGATTTCACAGTAATTATAATAAAAACATAGCTCAAGCATTTATGCAACTTGATTTGAAGCGCGTGTGTGTGTGTGTGTGTGTGTGTGTGTGTGTGTGTGTGTGTGTGTGTGTGTGTGAGAGGGGCAGCACCGTGTGTGTGTGTTTGTGTGTGTGTAGGGTGACCAGATGTCCCACACTGTGCGGGACTGCACACACAGCATTTTTATTATTTGTCCCGTGTCCCACAAATTGAGACTATGTCCCGCATTTGAGTGACAGTCGCGCAGAAAGGCCGGATCGGCAACGCCCTTTATTATTATAACGTCTAAATGGCATCATGTAAGTTGCGCTCACAGGCAACACAGAGGTCCACAAACAGTGCACTCCCCCTCCCCCCCCCGTCGACAGTTCACGAGCACGTCCATAGTGTCTCCCCCGACCCCCACCCCCGTCCACCCAGTAAAAAAATCCCCACTACATCGCTGGTCCTGTCTGCCCGTTTTGCACAAACTCCAGCCTGTCAGGACATCGAGTCCACAGTTTCCCTAACAGGAAAAGGACCGGAGCTAGCTTTCGTTCCTGGGTGCGTTG